CACACTGCCACAGGAACACAGCCAGGCAGGAGCACAGGACACCCCATGCCCCAGCAGCACTCACCCCGGTGCCGTAGCGAGCGCTCTCGTACCCATCCAGCAAAGTGTCGATCAAGGCTTTGCGGATGCCTTTGAAGGAGGTGCTGGAATTCCTCAGCTCCAGCAGGTAGGCACAGAAGTTCTTCCCTATTAGAGATTTTGGGTACCTGCCCTCTGCATGGAATGGGATCTCTGGAAAAGGGCACAACACAACTGGCTGAGGGATAGGTGGAAATGCTTGTGCTCACCCCCAGGTCAGGAGCTGCTGGATGGATAAACTCCTTCCATGCCCACTGCCTCTTTTTGCCAGCTGCCAACTCTCTGGGTGGAGGAAGTGACTGCTATTCCCCAGTGAGCACCTGGAGCCTCACCACGAGGCTGCTGGCACCCTCATCTCCTCCACTCAAGGTGTCTCTCCCTTACCTGATGTCCTGATTGCATCCAGTGCCTTCATCCTGTACAGGTAGTTATAGCAGCCTGGGAAAGGGAAAGCACAAACTGAGAGCTCTGCAAACCTTGGAGTGAGGTGGGGAAAGGAACACAGGAGCACAGACACCATCTCCCAGGCAACTAGTGACTACATGAGAGGACATAGTCTCAAGCAGTGCCAAGGGAGGCTTAGGTTGGACATTAGAAAGAATTTCTTCATGGAAAGGGTGGTTAGACACTGGAACGCACTGTCCAGGGAGGTGGCAGAGTCACCATCCCTGGAGGTGTTTGAGGAGAGACACTTAGCGCCACGGCCTAGTTGACATGGTGGTGTTAGGCCATGGGTTGGACTTAATGATCTCAGAGGTCTTCACCTTCACAGAAAGGGTGATTAGACCCTGGAAGGAGCTGCCCAGGGAGGTGGTGAAGTCCCCAACCCTGGAGGTGTTTAACGAGAGCCACTTAGTGCCATGTCTAGCTGACATGGTCATAGGTTGGACTTGATGATCTCAGAGGTCATAGGTTGGACTGGGTGACCTCAGAAGGCTTTTCCAACATGATTGTTTCTGTGTTCTCATGTGACAGGACACCAACAGAAGCAGCCAAAGGTACAATTTGGCCCCAAGGGAACAACAAGCATGGGATGGTCTCTCTGAGAGCCTCACCCAAGGCAAAGTGGATAGTACCTTGTGTCTCCAGCTGCAGCAGCCTCCCATCATCCTCAGCCAGCAGTTGTGGTTCATACTTGATGTCCTGCACCCTGGACAGCCGAATGTCGATCTCCTCCTTCAGATCCTGCACAGCAGGGAAAACACAACACATTTACAGAGTTCTCACTCCGTTTGTGGGATCACATGCATGAGAACAGGCCTGAGACAAACTGCTCCCTCCCCACAGCCTGTCCCCACTGTGAGGTGGCAGCTCCGAGGCTGGAGCAGCCCCTCTGGGCACAAATGGGTCTGTGGGCACTGGGAATGGGGGGCACATCCCCCCCTGGGGCTGAGCACCCACCTTGGGCGCGTGCTGTCCCACGGGCACGTGTGGGCCGCGGCGAGACTTCATGGCGAAGCGCATGATCTGGCGTTTCACGAAAATGAAGAGCAGCACAAACACCTGGGGGGCACAGCGGGGTGGGGGTCACAGCCAGCCTGCACCCACCCCTCCCTTCCCAGCCCCATCAACCCCAGTGGGGCACCAGTGCAGCCCACTGGGAGCCACACAGACACCCACACTGGTCCCACGCACCTCTTAGCCGCCACAGAGCCTCCCACCCACATCCTGGAGCATCCCATGGGTGCTCCAGCCCAGCACATGAGGGTCTGAGCCAGCTCTGAGAGGGTTCCCCACGGACACCCCGGGACGTGTCTCACTGGAGCCTTATGGAACCTCACAGACATCCCAGAACATGCCCCACTGGAGCTTTATGGAGTCTTTGGGGCTGATCTCATGGGACACCCACAGACACCCCGGGATCAGCCCCATAGAAACCCCAGCACGTGTCCTACTGGAGCTTTATGGAGTCTTTGGGGCTGATCTCATGGGACACCCACAGACACCCCGGGATCAGCCCCACAGAAACCCCAGCACGTGTCCCACTGGAGCTTTGCAGAGCCCTCAGGCCTGAGCCCCCAGGAGCTCCATGGACACCCCAGGATTAGCTTCACAGGGACCCCATGGACACTCTGATTTGTGTCTCCCTGGAGCCTTATGGAACCCATGGGAGCCTCACAGACACCCTGGGACAGGTCCCACAGGACACCCCAGGATCAGCCTCACAGGGACCCCACAGACACCCTAAGACTTGTCTCACTAAAGCTTACACCTTCCCCATTCCCAACTCCACTCTCCGTGGTGACTGTGGGGAAATACACAGTCAAGGAAAAAAACCAACCAGAAATAGCATGTAATAGCAAAAACTAGGGAAAAATTAGATCAAATTGGTAAGATTTTATGTAGTTATGTAAGTTACAGATGTGCAGTAGAGTAAGAATAGTTAACGGATGAGTTATGGATCATCTTCTGAATTAAAAAAAGAAAAAAGAAAAATACAGACTACACCCCACGACGTGTCCCCCTGTACCTTTACACACCCCTTGGGCCTGAGCTCACAGGATACCCACGGACACCCGAGATCAGCCCCACGGACACCTCAGGACGTGTCTCACTGTACTTTTACACACCCCTCGGGCCTGATCTCATGGGGTACCCAGAGACACCCCAAGATTGGCCTTGCAAGGGCCCCACGGACACCCCAGGACGTGTCCCCCTGTACCTTTACAGATCCCTTGGGTCTGAGCTCACAGGACACCCACAGACACCCCGAGATCAGCCCCACGGACACCCCACGAAGTGTTCCCCTGTACCTTTACACACCCCTTGGGCCTGAGCTCACAGGATATTCATGGGGACCCCATGATCAGCCCCACGGACACCC